ATAATCTAAAGTGAGCTCAACCATACATACAGGAAAGGGAATATTGGCATTCTGCTTTTACTTGGGCCTGCTTTTACTTCATGTTATACAATATATAAAGACACATGTTTAAACATCTAAATGTCTTAATATATAAAAATATCTCTAAATGTCTTAATATATAAAAATGTCTACACGTCCCAACCTTCTAACAATTGCTTTCTGGCAATATTACACATCTGGCACAATGGCCCATTAGATTGTTGCTGTCTGGTTCCTTCAACAAGTGAGACCCGTGTTGAAGTCTATCCTCAACCACAGAAGCTCACTTGGGTGACTTTGGGCCAGTTACTATTTCTCAGCTTAGCCTACTACAAACAACTTTTCTTGTGAGGATAAAATGAAAAATGTATACACTGCCTTAAGCTTCTAAAGAAAAGATTATATATAAATCTACTGAACAAAGTAAGAATAACTACTATAAAGTTGCTATCATATTATAAATGTTAACATGGTAAAATACCTAATACATGGAGAGTTATATTGTAACAGTATCCAATAACTGGGTGCTGTTAAACATCCAGTTAGGACAAGCATGCTGTTGTTTTAGCTGATAAACTGGAAGAAGAGATAACATACTTTTCACACAGACAGAAACCTTTCCACACAAAAAGGGGAGCTGATGGGCAGGCAAGTAGGAAGACAGAGCTGGTAGACTTGTAGTGAGAAGTTGAGGAAAGAAGGAGAAAAATAATAGCTGGTGTATCAAAACTTTAATTTGCCAGAACAAAAATAGAAAACTTAGTAATGCTTGACTAGGCACACATAAATCAAATATCTGTTTTACTGCATTATTGCCACTTATCAGAAGGATTGTAAAGAGGTGGGAGAAGAGGGAAGAGCCTCATATAAGAGACACTTGGAAATGCTTTAGCTAAATGCCGTTTGACTTAAATCTCTCTTTTTCCTTTCAAAAGAGAATCTTAATCATAGACACGAAAGTTCAGACATTTCAACTGACTTTTCAAGGTTGTTCCGAGTTAAAGTTATTATTCATGAAGATGAACCAACAGAAAGGAAAGTAGACTTATTCTAGGCTATAATTGTCATGGAGGAAACTATCATAAATCTGTATTTCAAAAGGATGGCATTGGATTTACACAGTGTTTATCCTTATCTTACCCCATCAGAAGGTGTTAAGGTGTTATCATTTTTATTATTTTCTTAGAAGATAAACCAGAGTGTGTGTTTGTTACACACATACACACACACCCTTTTGACAGCGATCTTACTCCAACAAAAAGTATGTTTTAAATACACAAAATATAGCTATGTATTAACTCTTCAAAACTAGACCATAAATCAAGGAAAAGATGATTCCTTATTCCTCAAATGCCTACTGTAAAATACAAGCCAAAGGTAAAGCATTTTTATTTTCAGAACTAATATTATTTCCAGAGCCTGAAGAAGGGGGAGAACTTCACATGGAAAGACATGGAAAGACAGTAATGATGAACCATCAGCCTATCAAATTCAAAATGTTGGAGAATAAATATAATTCATAATTGAAGGCAAAAATTATTAATGAAATAGATTTAGACACAGAGATGCTAAATAAAGAAGAATGCATACACCATGCATCACTATATATCCCCATTTATTGCAGCAGCATCTGAGAGAAGAGTACAGGTGGGAATCATTTGAAATTATTGGAATTTTGGAAACTCCATTACTATCTAAACTTGGACTAGCAAGCAGATTTAGACTTTGCTATACCTTTGCTTTTGTACTTCCCGAGTGTTCTTATGAGAAGCTCAATCTTTTTGTCCCATATAAACGCTATTTGTAAGAATATATTTATGAAGACTGATAATCCAAAATTAATAAAATCCATTCATCTGGCTTACTTTAATATCCTTTATATCAAACGTAGGTCATTATTTGAATCTCAGTGCCAACATCGGGGGTGAGGAAATTTTTCCTGCTCTAAGCCATGTTTGGTTGATTTATAGCCTCTGAAATATGTCTGATAACTCTGTGAAGTCAAGTTTTCCCTCTTTTTTTTTTTAAGTCTGGGATGATGTCTGGTGATGTAAGATAGACAAGCTTCTGGGATGCTTAATGTACCAATCTGCACCCTTTTAGTACAATGCACCAGCAGTTGGAAGTGTAATTTTGGAGTGCACTTTTACCTCCTCCTCCTCCTTCCTCTTCCTCATTTTTTTTTTTTTTTTTTTTTTTTTTTTTTTTTTTTTTTTTTTTTTTTTTTTTTTTTT